CTTCAAGCTTTGAAGTCCAAGAGAAAGCAGTATACATTGCTTACATAAACAGGGCTATATAGAGGGGTCATGGCCTCTACCACCTTTTCTCTTCTAGAATTTCAAATGGCAAAGACTGGAAACTAGGAAATAAAGATGTGAATTTACAGAGAAAATTAGTTTCCAGTAGAGATACTGGAACAATTTATATAAGATAAAAAACAAAAAAAAAAACCCAAAAACAAGCTAGGGAAACTTAATCAGCAAGTACAGCTCCCAAGAGGAGGGGAAACAACAAATAAAAGACTGGAGACTTATTTCCTAGAAACAAGCATCTGACATGGCATCTAAATTACAAAATTAGTGCTGGCTGGAAAAAAGCTGCAACTCAGCATGTTTCAGAAGCTGAAAGATTTCTCTGAGTACTATAAGCCTTCATTCTGAGGACAGAACCTCTACTCTTATGGCACAATGGCTTCTAATTGATCATCAACTGTCAGACTTGCTCATCTATTTGGACAAGAATCGTCCAAATCTGACATTTCCCTTTTGATTTTTTTTTAAGCTTCCAAGCTGGATGTTTTGTTTACAAATAGGCGTGCTATCAATACTAAGTTGCATCACTTTACAGACAAGAAGTTTGTATTGTAAGTGCCTACAAGTCTTTACATCCTAAGACACCTGCACCCCTTGCTCTACAAGACTAAGCATCACTTCAAGTGAAACTGAGCAAACGAAGAAACCCTAGTCAGCTAAGAAAGTCCTATGCTCAAATCCATGAGGAAAAAAAAAAAAGTTAGCAAGAAGAACAGGTCCCTTAGAGAGCCTGTACAGAACTGTAAACATCCCTGTACAGTTTTATCTAGCTGGCTGATAGATACTGACAACTGATAAACAAATGCCATCATTTGACACCTGAAAACAGGGTAGGAGGCCTGGGTCAGCCCCAAAGGGTAACAGTTTTGTAGGCTACACAAAGGCAGAGCTCCCTGAACTGCTCGACTGGCACTGACCCAGCCTCCCGCAGGACCCTGAACTGCTGGCAGGCTCCACTGACAGAGCAGGACAACCAGGGCAGGTGGCACAGCGAGGTGCAGAAGAGAAAGCGTGAGCTCTCACATTTCACTTTGCTTACCCACCCGATCAGGTAGCTCTTCATTTACTTCTCCTCCAGCCTTAAGAGGAGTCTGACTTAGATGTACTAGTTAAAATTGTGAATCCAGAGAAACAAGTGCAAGTAGTCTATGTAAACACACTTTTTATCTAGCAACATTTTCTATTAATTAGCTCATAACTAAATGACTCAGTGACATACTATTGAGATCATCTTTTTAAAGAAAATCTCCCAAACATTTACAAGTATAACTCCTCATTCTGCCAATACCTTCCCTTTCCCCAAAACAACGAAAGTAAGCCAAAAAATGCCAGACAAGTACATTTGCTAAAGATAAGCCGCGAGAACCTACCATACACCCCCTAGCTGGAGCATGAATTTAACAGTTTTGGAAGCATAAAACTGAGTTAGCTAGAACAGTTCAGTTTCCAACGCGCATTATAGTAAGAGTATTCAATATACTTAACTACATAAGCTCAGATTCTTAATTTCATAAAGAAATAACACATTCCGAGTATAAGAGCACAGACCTCAGCAAGACACCTATTCCTTGCTCTTTACAGAGCATAACATCATAATTTCCAGCTTGACCATGCTTTCATATTAAAATGCTTATACACGTACATTTGTGTTCAAACATTTGCCTCCAAGTAATACTCACATGAATGCAGAGCTAAAGCCTTACTGCTCTTACTACACAAAATCCACCAGCTTTTATTATTCCTTTCTGAGCTACTTCAAACTTCCTATAGAGTTGACTTAGGGCAACAGGCACTGGCTAAACAACTCCTATTTACAAGAGCTGCAGGTCTAGCCTGATTCTCACAAAACTAAATTCTTTACAAGTAAAGGCCATGGCACTTAGCAGGGTTAGGTAACGAACTCTTCTTGTCAGCTCCGCAAACATCAGGACTGACCTTGAGGCAGACTACCATAGTTATAGAGCCTGGACTGAATGTCCTCTAAATTGACCCTGAGTGACAGTTCCTGCCAGAAAAATAAGAGCGTGGTACTCATGAAGATAGCCTTCTGATGGCATTCTTAAAATATTACTTGACCTAAAGCCAAAACCCCCTCCCCACAAAACAAAAAACCTTCCAAATACTATTTCATCAGTTGCCTCATCAAATTTTAATATTTACATTTCAAACATTTCAGAAAGTTTCTTAGAGCTTCACTTCCTATCATCTATTAAAACTTTTGCTCATCCTTTATAGGTCAAATTTTGTTACATGTTCAGAGTAATGACCAAGGTAGGTATATGCAGTGATTCTGTGGTGAGTTCTTGATCTTCTCCATTCTGAATTCACTTTACTGACTCAAAGGTGACCAGAATTGTCTACACAATCTCAGAACTTGGTACTATGGCATTCCTCCTTGAGGAAGCCCAGCTTTCTCACTTAAAAGTTTAGGCTTGGATTCTGCATCACAACTCTGTAAATTCACATCAGGAAGTTCTTATTTTGTCACTTTGATTAAAAAAAAATATATATATATTTATATAAAAAAAAAAATCAATCTTACATGTTTTTATGTGATACTGCACATTTGCTGCTCACATTCCCTACCTAATAAAACAAGCTCATTGACCAGTTTCAACTGAAACTGGTCAATTAGTTACAGTTAGGATTTTCATCTAAACTCCTACAAGTTTTGTGGAAATTGGCAGCTGGGCAGAGAAGCCCAAATTAGTACCCCACGGGAGAAGCAAGCAGAACTCAGCCGCTATGTACTGTTTGGCAACAATTGGCTAGCTAGCACGCACAATCCACAATCTTTTGCTTGATATGGGTGTCACAGGATAAATGAAGCAAGCTGGGAACACTGCAGTAAGGGGGAGGAAGATGCTTCAAGCAGATAGCACAAGTTCATAGACAGTCAGGCCTAGTTTCACCCTCCACAGCAGAACTTGCTTTCTGATGAGGAACATCAACACTAAATGACCCTGCAGAAAACAAGCTTCCACAGGAAGTCTGGCTGATGAAAATTTAAATTGTTTCCACAAAACCTTCTTTTTTCTTTATAAGAAAATTGTAGAAGCTCTTCATTTTTCCAATCAAGCAACAGAATAAAGTATTTAAATTTCAACTTATCCTTAACTGAAAATATTTCCGATTGTCAAACTACAAATGGTTTCTGTTCTAGTTGGTCGGACATTAATTTATGTCCCCATGAGCTGCTGTGCTGCCCTGAGCCTGCACTTTTCTTTATGGGCATTGCCAAATGAAGCACTGCAAACCCCCTCTTTAGCTGAACTGTCAACACGCATCATGGGAGATGCAGTCTGGCAAAAGCCACTGATGCCTGAAGCACCTGTATTGTAACTGCCAAGAGGCACTGCAACAACTGAGACAGAGCAGAAACACATTTGGAATTTCAAAGTTACCTTTATCTAGATAAAGTCTTGTTATTCTTTTCAACTTTTATTTTAGGACTGTTTATTTCCCTGAAGCATTTCAGCTTTATGTAGTGGTTAGGCACAAGCCATCAGCATCAAAAACACTGAAGTTTCAGTTCTTACCAGGAAGGAATACAGTAGATAATACTTTCTCAAATGAAGTGATTTACATGATCTCAGCAGTTCAAATTTTTATTCAAATCTGTGCTCCATCTTGGTCAAAGGTTAAAAGATAACTGCACTTTCAAAACCCAGAATTCTCTTAACACCTGTCCTAGACTGTTAAAAAAATTTTTTTCCACCCCAAAACACCTATGGATCATTACTCGAGATATCACAGATGGTACTGCTGTAAAGTTCTAATGAGTGGCACTGAAATATGTAGTTCAAATTAAAAATAGAAAAATATTCAAGCAAAAAACATACTTACAGGCTCTGTTAAGGTTGTATCTTTTTCCAGGAACTGTACAACACAATAGGCCAGCTAGAATGCAAGTCATATAGTTATTTAGTTTAAACAGACACTGTTTAGATATTACAGCATAACTAAATATCACAAGTTATAACAGAAGCATTTTAAATTAGAAAAAAAATCCTACACAGCCATTTAAAATCCTTCCAAACTAAACAAAACAGCAATTAAAGCAGAAAGATATACAGTCTTGCTCTATTTTACAAAGACTTTCTGCATACCAAAACCTTCGGGTTTTTTTTAATCTTAGAAAAAAAATTGTTTTTAAACTTGACTGTTTATTTTCCTAACTCAGATGCAGCATTCAGATAGATTCTTCTTAACTTCAGTTCCTGTTTTAACAGTACCCTGTGAATATGCCTGAATTTTCAAACTTTTTTTTTTTTTTTTGGGGGGGGCAGCGCACAGGGAAGATACTTCCAGTCAAACAAAAAAAAAAAAGATTAGCAGGTCTGGCTGAGCACACGTTGCTCAAAAGCAAAACTGGATATCTACAGCATGCAAAATTCTGTGGTAGGATGACAAAGACGTGAAAGAAATCTTAACATGTTATATAGCCACAAGAGATCAGAGAGCATCTGTCCAGCTGAGCACACTGCCCCCAGCAACGGCCAATACCAAGTGCCTACGGAAGAGCATAAGAAGCAGGGAAGCCTACGGCAATAACTCACCGGCACGCTCTCCCGGGCTCCAGTGGTTTGTGCCCCAAGGGGCTTTCCAAGGCCAAGGTGTTCTATTTGTGTTCAACAGCGTGGAAATACAAAGCTACCTAAGCAACCTTACTTCTGCCCAGTACAGAAATCATACAGTAGCTCTATTATTGAAGTAGTTACAATCCCAGACTCCATCAAGACCCGTTTTAAGAAACTGCAGTTATTTTTCATCTCCCAATACAAAGCAGAGATGAGGTCATTTACATGCCTTATATATATTTCCATACTTGAATTCAAATATCCTAAGTGTTTTATCTTCCAAATTTTTTTTATTTTGTTATACCAAAACAGATCATTGCAGTGCTGTAATTATAACATGTCTATTTTTTTCTTAACCCTTAAGATACGGTTATGTGTAGATTAAAAAAAATAAGAGTAACTGCCATATGAATAATAGGAAGTCCCATTAAAGCATTTTTGTGCAGTATTGACTCACTGCTACCTATTATTCAAAGACACAGACTCAAACTTATATCAGCTTTAAGGCTTTTATTTTTTAAGAGCAGTCTAAACTTGTACCGTAGCAACAAAGCAACCAGGTCACTCTTGGTTGGGAAATGGGATTAATGTGGGTTTGCATCTTAAGGACAACACGAAACAGGAAACATACAATGATGAGCTCACTCTTTAATTTCCAGACGGTATTTTGATACACGGGACCAGCGGTTTATGAAGGGATAGATTAACAGCCGGGTCAACAAACTGCTTTCGAGTATACAGTACAGCTTGAGGTAATACCACCCTTTCAGGTGCCAATGCACTAGAGAAAGCATATCAGGGAACAAGGGACAGCTTGCTGTACTGATCTAGCGAGAATACCTTTGGCATGTGACTGGTCCCTCTCATATCACTGACTCATTCCATGAAGCAGCCTATTGCACAGTGATAAACCACAAAGACAAGCGATTTAATTAAAACTTTTTATGAGAATTAGGAATTAACTGAGCTCTTGACTTGATCCAGTCATAATGATTCCACTTTCATTAGAAACTCACTTCCTCATATCTTTTGTCTATAAGGAGCTATATTAGTGAGAAGACTAAGTTAACAAAGCTAATTTTTAATTAGCCATAGCAGAATTACTTGTTGATTTGCATAAAATGTATTCAATGCTCAAGTGCCAATATGCCTGGGAAGGATGTACATTATTCATCAAATAAGATGTTGAACGTCTGTGCTAAATGTAAGAAGAGAAGTTAACCAAGGAACTGCAACATTCTGACAGTATGTCATGGAGCTACATAATTCCTAGCTGATCCAAAGAGATGTTATGTATTTCTGTCTTTTATTTCCAAAATAGGGAAAAAAAAAAAAAAAAAAAGGGTAGGCAAACCGGAATGTTTTAAAAAGCATTTCTGAAATAAACCCCTGACCATACTCAAGGTTCCTTTATACACAACATTTAGCTTACGTAAGTTATAACAGAATAAGGCCCTGGGATTAAGTTTCAAGCTTAAAGTGTGACAGGCTAGCAAACCCAAAAAACTTCCCATTTCAGTTGACATGACTGACTCACTGCTGTATTCTTTCACTTTTAATATATGCTAGATTCTATCTCAAAAGTAACACTTACATCTAAGATCTTAACAAAATATTCAGTGAATACATTTTAAAATATTTTGCAATACAGATATTAAAACATACACTACTTCAAACTTTCATTAGTTTCAAATGTGAGTACTAAAAAATTATTGCAAATATGTAAAAACTTACCTGTGCGTGAAACAAAGCTAACCCCTTCGCAGTGTGCATGGGAATCAGAACTTTCATGAGGAACTGTTTGTGTTCTGCTTTCAGTGGCAGTGCAAAACCATTGATAATACTGAAAACATGAATAGGCAAATTTTTATATATAAAGACAATTTTCTTCCCAGAAGATCAAGAAATACTGTAAATTAAACAGATGTTCAATTTCGAATTCATTTTCTAAACCTAATAACTGTGGGGCCACAAAATAGCTTTACATATGCATAATCTAGTCTAAAAATGTCTGTACCATGCAAGTTTGGACTCTTGCTAGCAAGGGTGGGGAGTGGGAAACACTCGTAATTGAAATTCAGTAATACTAGTTAGGCTGAAGTATTTTTAACATGACTTCCACTCATGTCTACAGAAAGCTTTGCCATCTAACAGTAAGGCTTTGATGGATACATCAGAAAGCTGATCCTTTTCACCCACAATCACTTAAAGGTAACTTGCAAAGAATTAAAAACAAACAAAAACCAAACTGATGGCATATAATTTTTTTAAACTACTTTATCACTACAATTTTTAAACATTTGTTTTGAGATCATTTCTAGATTTTTGACAAACCTAGGAAAACAATAGCATCCTTTTCATTTGATTTTCATGAAGATTTGTTCCATTACAGTTTCACAAGCTTCGGATTTTCAAGTGACCAGTAGTATCTATGATTTTCTACCGTGAAATACATCTGTGGCAATTTTGGAATACTAATAAACTGCTACTACACAAATCTCTAAAGTTAAAAATAAGTGATTTAAGGGTAAAAATGATAATAAAAAACCCTAGCACTTACAAGGCTTTCACAATTAAAAGTAAACCAGACTGAAGATTAAAACATTTCATTCAACATGAGGGTAAAAACGAACGCTTGTTTTCTGAACCAAAGAAAACTATCAGAAAAGGACCAAGAGTAGATACTACTTATTATTTCCAAAAGTAAAGGGGGGGGGAACCAAAAACAACAACAAAAAAATCTTATTTTGATATCCATATTTCATGCTAGAAACAAAGACTCTTAAGAAATATTTTGCAGGCCATCTTTAAAATCTGCAGTGAAGAGGACCATTTATATTCTACAGCCCGATCTGATAGCCACATGATAGCCCAGACAATATTAAATGTCAGTGCCAGTACTTCCTCACTAGTTACTAAAATAGTTGTTCTCCCCTTCATTCCCAAAGCAAGAAAGCTGAAGCTTTCCAGAATAACCCAGAACAACATATCATACTTATTCTCCATCTTATCAAACTTACCTTCCTAATATCTCCAGAAGCTCAGCGACACCATTGAAGTGCTCAGTTTCATATATAAACCTGATACAAAAAGAAGCAAGCAAAGTGAAACAGAGATCAGAAATTCTAAAGAAATAACCTTCAGTAAGCTTCAAATATTTGACAGCTTGATCACGGACCAAAAATCAAGTCTTGCATTTCAAGAACAAATCACTACAGATGAACGAGGAAGCCTCAACCTCATCACACACACGTATAGCATACCTGAGGAAAATGTTGTTTATCTGTTTCCTGATGAATGCTCTTAAACCAAGGAATTTTCCATAAATTCGATGAAGAACTGTCTTTAGAAAATCACGTTCTCGTGGGTCTTCGCTATCAAAGAGCTCCAACAACTTTAAAAATTAAATGGAAACATATTATTTCCGAAAGATTTTTAAAATCTGTGTCATGTTACTAACTGATTTGAATTTTATCTGTAGCTTACAAGTTTGCATTAAAAAAATTAGAATCAGTTTGACCTGAGGTTTTGTTTGGATGTCCAATATTATTTTGGAAGTTAGTTTTTTGGGTTTTTTTGTTTTTGTTTTTTTAAATGAAACCCAGAAGCTTTGTTTTCTTCATATCAGGAAGTCTGTATACAGACTTCAACAAAGTCATTCCAACAGCAGTTAACACTATCAAAATAAGAATGAAATGATCAAGAATGAGGTTATCAAGCCTTAGGTAAGTGGTTTGCAGTTGGTTTTTAAGAAATCAGAATTAATCACATCTGTGTCAGATAATTACAGCTTCTTAATTAAAATCCTGTATTTCTCATTTTAAAAAGCCTCGTGTCTTTCAAGCTAAGCAAAAGCATAATTCTTTGCAATCATTTTGCAAGACGGATGGATGGTGATAAGAATCATGCACCTTTCCTCAGGGAAAGAAGAACGTGATACGCTTAGTGGAATGCTAATGCATTAGAAGTAAGCTACAGAAAAGAAATTCACAGCACGTAGAAGTTAAATAATGTTGGTCTTAATCTAGTATCAGTATTTTCCTCCTTTTTAAACCTCTCCCCCTCCCCTGCCATTTTCCACTTATCTATTCTGGGTGATGAACACATTTGCTTTTGTTTGGATACAAGAGATTTCAGAATTGATGATTTAATATGAGGGTTCATCAAAATCAAGCATAAGCTATGAAAATGACAAATTCTGGTTCCCTGCTAATAGAGACTAAATGCCCCAATAAGGCAGCAAGATAGTCCATGCATTTTTTTCCTCTTAGAGAGTTTTGCGAGGATACAGAGAAGAGCATACTCGCTTGAAGAGATCGAAAGACATTCCAATCCCATTATAGATCATTATTTTAAGTTATTGCTTCCTGTATGTCCAAGTAAGAGCAAATTCAGAGATGCTAACTGTGCTAAATAAGTTAATAACTTAGCTCAAGCAGTCACTATTATCTCCTGCTCAATCCAGGCCTGCAAACTTACGAATGTCTATACCAAGCAACATAAGGCAGGGGAAACAGCTGTTCAGGAACTTTGCTCAGGCTCATTTCATTTTTCTATTTAGGTGATCTCTCTCAGGATCACTACTCCACATTTTTCTGTATAGCTCCTTGTTGCATTGCCTTTCTTGGGCTCTCAAGAAAGATCAAGTCAAACTTCAGGAACTAAAACTCTGGAAGATGGCTTCTAAGAGAACCAGGACCAACTAGTAAATCTGCTACTCATGGCCAGTTGTTCAGCAGCAGCTTCAGGCCTGGATTTTGTGGGAAAGTCAAACAAGACAGAAAGGAAGGGAACACCTATTAACAAGAACAGGAAAGCTAAACAAGCAGTCTCTGAAGGTGGGGAGGGAAAATATTCATACAGGTTTCTTCTTTATGTTACTGCACTGTGACGGCCTGCCACCACTCTTCAGATACTGACATTTTCCTTGAAAACAGTTATTTTGATATGGGAAAATACCCACTAAAATAACCTTGGACAAAAGTTATTATGGTATCAAAGATAAAATGTTAACATTCTGCTAACTCATTTATTTTGATTTGGAATGTCCAGAAAAATGAGTTTCTACTACGTCTACACTAGGTCCTGGTACCTCTCCCTTATCCCTTCCTCAGTGCAATGCTGCTCCCGACCAAAAGGCAAGTGCTTCGAAGTCCCTGTTTGCCTGCTGATGAGAAAGTTGCACCTGCCTCAAACCAATTCAGATCTTTTTGGAACCACAAAACATTGCTATCCCAAACTTGCAGTTCCTTCTTGCCCTAACTTCCTGTAGATTTTCCAGTCAATATGACCCACAGCATATTCTTCTTCCTATTCACCTCCCTCACGTTTAGGATTTCCACAGAAAGGGAAGCAAGGTGCAGAACAGTGAACAGCAACAGAGCCCCTAAACTGAAGTGAAAGCAGAGCGGTTACAGTCTTTATTTTCTAAAAGTTTATCTTCTTTCTTCACAAAAACTGACTCACATTAGTTTAAGACGGTTAGTCAAATGATACCTACCAGTCTTGGCTAAACTCTAACAAAAGTAGAAAACACAAATCAATCTTTATGGCCTAAAATTTCAAGCTATCGTACTTCAAAGGATAATAAACTGTTAACGGTACTCAAAACATAGAGCCTATTTCCCTGATAAGTTATATTTAATAAAAAAAAATCTCAGTTCATTTTCTTGCTCAGTTACATGTACAGTGAAGCATAATTTTTCCTCAGTTTTCCTATGTATTTTCTTACCTAATTTTTCTTCTACGTATAACACATGATAGTAAAGGGAATGACACTATGTAGTAACAACTTAGCAGATGCTAGAACATGTATTAAAAAGTTAGCTTTTCACAGAACAAAAATCAATTTTGCTGTAAGTTTTACAACGATAAGTTTCTACACAGGGGGAGGGGGAAAAAACCATAAAACCACTAAAACAATTTAATCAGCACACTGTTGATTACACTGCAAGTAAGAGTTACAAATCATTTAAAAACACATGACTTCTTTCAAATTCAAGCATTTCACACTATTCTCAGATATCAACCTCTATGCTTTGCAAAGTGTTTCTAAACTTACAAATTATCTGTGTAGTATGGTGTCCTGTTTATATAATGCTTTGCAGAAAGCATCATAGGAACAATTAAAATTTAACCCTTGTCAAAGTGAAAGCTTTAATATCTCCTTCACTATATATTCATCAGACAGCTTCAGTTTGAGAGGCAATCTCTATATCGGGGGGGGGGGGGGGCTGGTGTCGGATGTGGAAGCTACTTACCTGCTGTACAAATTTCTGGTCAATGTATCGCTTTGCAATGCTCGGCTGAAAATCCGGACTCTCTAAAAACCTCAGGAAAAATTCATACACCAACTACAAACATTGAAATGAAAAATATGAAGAAGTTAAAAAGTACACCATAATACAGATCTTAAAACAATAAAAAGCCCCTACATACACGAAAAATAGTCCCACTGACTTTGCACATGCTTAAAAGGCACACGTGCCATGCCTCCAGAACTGAGACTTAACACATTACTGTTAATTATGGTCTTCAGTGGAATTTACTAAAAGAACTACAGTAAGTATCAAGATTATTTTAATTCCCCAAAATCAAAGCTTAATAAATAAACTACCGAAAATATCACTATTAGACAAACCAAGTGAAAGTTATGTATTTTATTTTTATATATATTTTTCCCCCACTTTTTTTTCTATATTAAGAATTTATTCCATAGGAACAAGTTACTAAATGCTTTTAACAACACCAAGGGTAAAATTAAGTACTGTAACATTACAAAATTCCTTAAAAACAGATTAAGAAAAGTCTGCTAACTGAAGTGTTCCTGAAGTTGGGTTTCAACTGTAAGCTGTAGAAAAAAAAAAAAAAAAAAAAAAAAAAAAGGTCATATTAGAAAGCTGAATAAATACACACAGATTTAGGGTTTGACACACCATTAGGTTTCTATATCCTAGATACTTAATTCAAACAACAGGACCCCCTACATATTTATACTCAACATCCTTTATATTTTGTAGTGCATTATTACTATTGAGTTCAAGTCCTCACTCAACAGGACCCCACAAGGCGCACAGGTGAAAAGACAGGAGAAGAGAAGGATAGTGAGGGCCTGAATTGGCCAAGAGGCATGAAGCACAAGTCCCCTGTTTTTGGGTTCCTCAAAAGTCTGAGGCACAAAATTCTGTGCTTCAGTAACAACGGGGAGAGGGAGGGGAGACACCCACAGCGCTCTCAATTAATAAAATATGAAGATGTAAGGCCTCTTTTAACTAAGACAGAATTGAGAGGGGGAAAAAAAATTAAATTTAGAAACACTCAGGCTCGCTGCTTATCTTCTCAGTGCTTATTTCTTTGATCTTATTGCTTGTTAGTTAGTTAAACGATTGATGAATGATAATACTAAACTGCAATTTAGGTACACGCAGACATCACTGACTAAACTTTAAAAAAAAAAAAACACACACACAGAGCAGGGGTCATATTCACAGGCATGTATTTCAACTATTACCACTAAGAGTGCTTAAACTCTCTCAGAACCAATACCTAAGTAGTTCAGAATTATAATTACGAAGTTTAGTTGAGGAAATGCTTGACAGAAAGTACTTTTTATCTAGAATTTGAGATTGCAGTAGCTCATGCATAGCCTCAAGGAGGCTATGCTGCATCCGTAGAGCAGACCTCAAAAACACAAGGAGGACCTCTTTACTCTTTCTTTTCCCTCTGATCAAGACTAACAATAGCTTTTTGCATCAGCAATTTAAATGGAGTTCGAAAGGTTACAGATTTCATACAACAGAACTGCATTAAAGGAACGTTGAAGTTGCAAGTTGTAGGAAATTTGTCTTCTTGTGCATAAATGTAATAGCATGCAGTTGCATAATAGACTATGTAGGACAGTTTTGGTTTTTTTTTAAAGCTCGATAATAGCCAATCTAATGAGATTTTAAATATTCCCGTACTCCATTCTCTGCCTTAGAAACAGATCAACCATGGCTACTGAATTTTCTCAAGCTAAAAATTATACAAATTCACCAGTGGTTTGTATTGAAATAGGAAACACAAGGCTGAAGGGCGGTTATAAGCACAGCTTCATAGGGATTAATTTTGGAATTAAATCTCATTAAATATTTCTATCAATGACCTTGGCAAAGGATAGCCATTTGTTAGCTGCTTGAATGACACCACAATAACGGAAGCTACCAATAGAGTATCAGGTCATCAGGAAGAAAGGACAAGATTCCAAAGGTCAAGAGTAACAGACATAGGACAAAACTCAGTGACCGCAAAGTGACAGATAGAGACCCAAGAAAAAGCTTGGCTAAGCACTAGCAAGCTTCTAAGCTAGGGAAAGGAACAGGCCCTTAATACTGGTCAACCGCAGGACGACTAAGATCTATCTACACAATGAAGCCATAAAAACAACAAATGAAACCCTGGGATATAACCAGGAAGATACTGACAGTGAAGATAAGAGATGCACAGGCCTACACGTTTCAGACAGATATTAAAACCTGCAAAGATACAGAGAAGGAACCACTACAATTATCATGGGACAGAGCACCTTTTATGAGGGAAAACTAAAATAGCATGTGTTGTTTCTCCTGAAGTAGGTGGAAGGCAACAATTATGACTCCTTTATAAATAGGTAGAGGGACCAGGACAAACATCAAGCAAAAGAACTAAGCTAAAGCATAATGCTGTAACAACGTATGCATATAAATGGTTCAAGATTAAGATTAGGATTAAATTAGAATGGAAAACAAGGTCTTAGAATAGATGCGTCTCATTTATAAAAGAAGTCAGCAATAACACACAATTCTCAATACATGGTAACAAAATATAATCAGTTACACGTCTCATTTCTAATACAGGCCAAATGCGTGGCAGTTACCATGTGAATACTTCATACAACCACATGCAATTCCAGAACCAAGAATGTTGCTAGTGTTCTTAAAGAAAGGAGTTTTCAGAAGGGGCAGGGGGAGCACTCAAAAATCCATCTAGTTTCTGGGCTGCATCACAGGAAAGTTCTGCATACTGAAGAAATATTTATAAAGTTCTAACGTTTACAGAATCTTCTACCTTCTGGATTTCCTGATAGTTTCACTGCTCCTAGAACACATACAGCTCATTAAAGGTCTCAAATAACTTTGGAAATCCTTGGGAAATGCATGAAACTTTATCCAAGGCACTTCAGGAAGCAAGCTGTGATGGCCGTTCCTGTATAGTCAGTCTCTCCCTTCTCCTGTATGCTAACGTTTATGAACTCAGAAGCATAATCAACTAGGGGTAAGAACGGACTCTAGCCACAGCAGACCCTTGGCTGCTTCTGCCAAAAAATAAAAAGAAAAAAGAAAAATCCAACAAACAAAACAACATCCCCCACCCCTCCCCACCCCCAGATAGATAGGTTTGCTCAACTTTCCTCAGTTTAGCTGAAGCATTACCAGTAGAAATACCAAATCTCTTAGGGAAGAGAACTGTCGGATTTAATAGTTTCAGTTTTGAGAACTGGTCTGCTCGGGTCAGAGAGATACCACAGGCCACTCCTGCTCCTTTTGTGATTCAGCCTTCTTTCTTGTAGAGACCACTGAAATATCATAATTGTGTTTAGGCCAACAATTCCATCATCTACTCCTTAAGCTCAGAAATACACAGTGGCTTTAATGCCAACCTGTTCAAACCAGTTCGGTTGTTAAGAACCATCTTGAGTATTTCTTTAAAGCTGTCTTACACGTAACACTCATTTTACTGAAGGCCTACATCTTTTGCAGTAGCTATAGAGGCTGGTAACTTAGTAATCCATTATCTATCATTTTATTTTATAGGGAAATACCAACAGATTCAACAAAACAGAGGTGTGGAGGTTCAGTTATTCGCCTTTCCCTCCTGGAAAACTGATTATGCGACTAGCAGCATGGGACCGAGTCCTGAATTTTGTTTGTAATAGAACCGCCACAAACAGTACAAGCTGACAGCCAGGGAAAAAACAAACAAACCAGCCAACCCCACAACAACAGTC